CATTTCACCAATTAAAAATGGATGTTAAAATTTCTTTCCTTTCAAGTTCTCACAGTTGGTAAAACAGTACATATGGTATAACCCATTTTAGATAAAGAAGGGAAGATCTAAATGGGATGATGGTATGTGTTTATTTGCCCCCAAAATTTGATGTTAGATACATTGCTGATACATTTCCCTGATAAACCAAGTGGAGAATGGGTTTTCAATTTAGGCACAGTTTCATGCATAATGATTACAATACAAAGCACTAAATTACTCAGCTTTGTACCTTACTTTCATAAGTTGATTTATTCACCAGTATTTTTCACTTAGTCTAATAGTTATACTAAGATACAGATGTATTCTTCCTATAAATAACAGCTCTCTTGACTCTACCATCAGCAGTGTCTACTCACTCTACTTAACTTGAAAGCTAAACCTTGTAGACCTGTTTTGCATTACCATCTATACTTAAAGTTATCTGTATCCCAGTAGATGACCAGTGTTCTCAGTATTGCTGAATCAATAGTCACTTCTCCATCTTATCCTCTCAGCAGTATTTAACAGTCGGCTACTTAGTGCTCTTTGAATCTCTCTTATTTTCCTCCTGTATCCTGGCTGGTCCTTCTCAGTCTCCTTTACTTGTTTGTGTATTGCTTGACTTTCCAGTAGTACTGGGCTATCTTCTCTTAACTTCTCTAGTTGATCTTATCTCTACTGTTTGCATGCCACTAACTCATTTATCATTACCTAATTCTTGCCTGTTGAATCACAGCTTCCAACTGGTAACTTGACATCTTCATTTGAGTGCCTTATATCTTAATTTGTTAATATTAACAGTAATAAAATACTTAATAAAATATATTTTAGTGCCCCAAAACTCAGCTATTCAAGCCAGAAGCCTAGGAATCATCTTGAAATAGCTCCTGTTTCTTAATGTCCTTTCAGCAAATCCTGTCAACACTGCCTCCAAAATAAATCCTCTGTCCAGACTCATTTCTGCCACCTATTGTGACAGTCATTTCTTAGGCAACTGCTTGTCTCGTGACTTAGTCCCTTATCTGTCCTCCATGTTACAATCTGAATGATCTTTTTAAAATGCAAATTATATTTCCCAATTTAAAACAGTCCAAGAATTTGTAAGGCCTTGTGAAACATGCCCCTGCCTTTTCCTCCAGTCTTAAATTCAGCCACTCTCCCTCTTGCACAAAAGCCTCTGCATGGTGGCTTTTTTACTCCACTCCTACCCAGCCAAGTCAGGTCCCACCTTGAAGACATGGCTGTTAATCTGTTGGCTGGCTTTCAGTCATGCACTTGAAATGGTATCTCTTCATCTTGCTGTTGAGGCAGTGTAAAGTAGCCACTGAGATAAGTAAGGTTCAGTATTTGTAGTATGATAGTATTTCTGTAAAATATATGCAACAGGAAGGGATGCGTGTGTGGGTCACTCAGTTGTGTTCAACTCTTTGTAACCCCGTGGACTGTAGCTCTCCAGGCAAGAATACTGTAGTCGGTTGTCATTTCCTCCTCCAGTATATCTTCCCAACCCAGGTCTCCTGCATTGCAACCAGATTCTTTACTGTCTGAACCACCAGAGAAGCCCCAGGGAGGGATATATATTTTCTTACATAACGTAACTGGAAGGAGGCATGAGAAATCAACAGCATTCTTTACCTCCATGAAAGGGATCTAGGTGACTGGGGAACTAGAGTGGAAAGTAGGGTTCACCATTACCTTTGAATTTAGAACCATGTAAATCTGTTACCTAAAAAAGAAAATTAGAGGAGTTTTTTAAATACTAATAATATAGACCATGTAGCTCTAACTACAAGAAGGGGAAAACCCAGGAAAATGAGTCAAGAGCTTATATTTGGGGGTTTTAAAAAAGTAGCGACTGTCTTAGAGTGTCTCACACATTGAGAATGTGATATATATTTGTTGATTGAACAGATGTGCTAGTTAATTTGTAAAGCAGTGTGGACCCATTTACTCATCTCCAACATGAATTACCAAACTTTTAAAAATGAACCTAGATTCCTGCTTTAAAGCTAGCACACTGTTTGCGTGCAAAATTATCACCTCAATTTTGATAACATAGATATCAAGAATGATAAAGCTCCTATCTAGCTATTTCAGACTCCCTTTTCCATGTACTGTTGTCACTTTTTTTTTCTTCTCAGAGTTTCAGATTAACTTGGGTCCTGAGATCACACTCATTAAAATTCTAAGCCAGTAACAAATTTGCACTTATCAAATGAACAATTGTACTTTTTTGTTTGTTTTTACTTTGTTGTTTCTTTTTTAATAAAAGTACTGGCAAGATTACCAGGAGCAGACTTTACATCTAAATGGTTGGACTATAAATTTGCACATCCCTTCTGTAAAATAGACTGCAGTATGATTTAAGAGTTTATTTTGTTATTCTTTGATCTAATAACTTTTTAAAGAGTACAGAAAAACCTCAGTTAAATACCTAGCTTGGCTTCCTTCACAGTTTTCAATGCAAGATATAAAAGTGCTTCTATGGTATAGTCTCATAAACATGTTGAGAGTGAATTATAATTTTGGAAAGTTTATGGATGATTTTAACTTTCTTTAACATTTCATTTTTCCGTCTTCTGGAGTAGGTACAAACCAGCTTTTAAGAAGTTTTTAATGGATTCAGAAATGAGAACAACACGAAATCTATTAACTGACTGGATGTTTCTCTAGCAGGATCTGTACCTGTCGCACTGCAGACTCGTTTATGTATAGCAGTTCTTAAAGATACCCATCCTGGAGAGGAGCTCTAATTAAAACACTGCAAAAATGAGGAATTTAATTATTGGTTTTGCATCCCCTTAAACCTAAAATCTTACTATGCTTTTTAATTTTTGGTTGATCCTTTGGGATGAAGATGAGAATCCTATTTAAAAATCCTTTAAAAGTCAGTCAATTCAAATTTTGTAAATTTCACATTACATTGAAAAGTTTGTTTATAATGTACATTTTCTGGCCTGATTGTTTAGGATTTCTTTTCCCCACAAATCCCTAGGCAGAGTTAACAGATAGTGTATGGTTTTTAATACTTTAAGATGAAATATAGTACTACATATAAAGAGAGGTGCTAATTCTTACAAAGAAAAAAATAACAGTTATTGGTAATACTTGTGGTACTGGTGGTTAGTGTACTCCCTGGATCCAGTTACATGTACCCATGTCTACAGTTCATAGAACCACTGGTATAGTTCAACTTGTTTTTTTTCCAAGAAAGCTTGACTGCCTAATGAGGGGCAACTTACGTTGAGAAACCACATGTAAACTGACTTAGTAGGCATAGGATCCTATCATTTCTGTTCTTCATTGGAGAATAGTTTTAGAGGCTGATTTCCAAAAGCACTGCTTAAAGAATTCTGGGTTGGTCCTTCCTCTTCTACTTAAGACATCACAGAGGCCAGAAGCTAAATTGTCATCAGCATACTGCTAGCAGACAGTTGTTTGTTCTCAATAAGTGTTATTGTGTAATGCTATTACTTTTTCAGAGTGTTGCAGAGGTAGGAACATGGGGGAGAAACAATCTGGATAACATGAAAGTGATGCTGGTGGCTAAGGGAAGGCATCTGGATTCTGTGGGAAGGGCTGTAGCTGATCCATCTGTTTTCTAGGTAAGCATTCCTTTGTTCTGGGTACCTCACCTCATGATTTGCAAATTTTCATCATAACTAAATCATGGTCTCCATTTATCTTTAATTTGGAAATGACATCTTTGACATTGTAAAATGAATGATGTCCTTCTAAAACAGTAATTTGTATAGTAAAACTTGAATAAATCACTAGATCTTCACCATGTAAATGTTAGTAGTTCTTAAGTTTTTCTGCCAAGGAAAAATGCATTTGTGTAAATGGCAATTATATGTGTAGACTAATATCTTACATATAGGAACCAAATAAATATTGAATGATTAATTTGAAACACATCAAGGCTTATGTCCTCTGTATTATTTAGTTGGAGGCTTCCCAGATGGCTCAGCCGGTAAAGAATCTGCCTGCAATGCGGGAGACCAGGGATCGATCCCTGAGTCGGGAAGATCCCCTGGAGAAGGGAATGGCAACCCACTCCAGTTTTCTTGCCTGGAGAATTCCATGGACAGAGGAGCCTGGCGGGCTACAGTCCATGGGGTCGCAAAGAGTCGGACACGACTGAGCGACTAATAATAGACTACTAGACTAGACTATGTGGACCAGACCAAAATTGAGTGTTGAGACAAGAACTTCATTGAACATTACAAGGTAAGCCCAACGACTTCAGTTCAGGTCGCTGATTACAATTCAGTGCATTTCCTCCTTTCAGCCATGACATGCTGCAATTAAAGTACTGATCATTCAGTTTGTCTAAACAAAAAAAAAAAAAAAACAATTTAAGTGTAAAATAATAGGTGAAGACTCAGTTCTCTATTTCAAAAGAAGGCCTAGCTCCATGTCTATTAGGAAAACAGTTTGGTCAATGATAGATATATGTACTATTCAGTATTATTTAAAAAGTAACAGAATTATTTAGTGTTCATATTTTTCAGATAGTAATAAGCTTAAATACTTGTAAAAAAATGTTTTAGAGAAATAATTCTTAGATTAAGAGAAAAGTTGTGATGGATCTTCTCCTGAAGAATCGAAAGTTAAACACCTGAGTATATCACAGAGCTGCCAATTTAAAAAAGTGGTGAGAGTTTTTGCTCATATGTCAGACAACTTGGAATAGACTGTCTTTCATTGGATGTTATAAAAATAACTCTTTTTTTAAAAAGTAAATGCTTTAAGTTTTTAATTGATCATTGCATTTAGATTGTTGAAGATTATTCTAACTAATTCTAAGTAATTGGTATAAACTTTGGAAAAACAAAGTTTTGAAACTTGAACCATCATTGCAGTTTCACACAAAGAATACTGTAGGCGGATATATTTGGAGAGGGCTATTTTATGTTCATATTTGGAAATGATTTTTTAAACCCTAATCTGAAACCTGTTCTTTTACAGATTTGAGTATGAGCACAGTTGAAGAGGATTCTGACACAGTGACAGTAGAAACTGTGGACTCTGTGACTTTGACTCGGGACACAGACGGGAACCTCATTCTTCATTGCCCTCATAATGGTAGGAGAACCTGCCAACATATAATTATAAATCTTTTTGGATTTCTGGATTTCATGTCACCTTTAAACCTTACTACTCAGTTTAGTCTAGAATAGTAGAAAAGGAGGTTATTTCTTAGATAACCTTAATTCACATTTATATTTTTGAAATATACTTTGTATATTTTTTGAATTTACCATAAATTTCTATCTTTATGAATCTTGTAGTTATTTTATAAGTAGAATTTGTTGAATTTCTAATGATGATGGATTAACTATAAATACACTTCTTCTTTGACACCATTTGATACCAGCAGTATATACAGTATATTAGAAAATGTAGAAATAATCCTGCCAATAAACACAGAAGAATTGTTTTTCTCTAGAACCTGTGTTAGAGAATTTTACATGACTGTTTGAATAGGACTTAATATCATTTGTAATGAACTAAGATTCAGTTGACTTGAGGCTTGTGGTTTTGTTATTTCTCTACCTGTTCCGTATTTATATTTATTTTGCTTTGTAAGTTTATCCTTGTTAAACCTAGGTTCTGTGTTCTTTTTTCACTTTGTACTTAATCCCTGGGTTATTTCATTCAAATTTGTGGTTTTAATTTCTGCATAGCTACTACAATGATTTAAACCTCTCTTTATTCTCAATTCTGTTTCTCATAGGCACCTTAAATTTCACATGTCTCAAACTATGTCTCAGGTCCCCTTTCCTTTGTTCAGGTTCTCATTTCCCACATGAGTAGCCTTTTAGCCGATCTCTCACCTCTAATTTATCCTTCAAACTGCTGATGATGGTGGTCATGATTCAGTAGTACACAAAAGCTTTTTTTTTTTAAATAAGCTTCCCAGGATTTTTAGAATATAATTCAGGTTCTTTAATTTGACACATAGGCCTCCCACCATCTCAGCTTTCTTTCCAGCTTCGTTTCCTGCCACATTTCATATATCTGTGTCCCAGCAGTTCACAACTGTTATTATTTTCCTAACTTATCACAAGCTTTTCATACCTCAGTATCACTCCACGTATTATTCCTACTGACAGTGATAATCATTTTCCCCTGGCTTCTGTTTGTTTTTGAAATTCAAGACACCTTTTCTAGAAACCTCCCTTCACCTCCAGTCTAAATTAAATGCTTCTCTTCTCATATAACAGCCTCTTCATTCCACCTTCATCGTTCTTACTAAACCTTTGAAATTACAGTCATCTCCACTGTACTGTGAGCTCCTTGACAGTCAGGGTGTCTCTCATTGTTCTGTTTCTCGAACTTAGCTGTTGGTAGGCATTCAGTAAATATCTGTGAGTAATTAAATAACCAGTCTTTATCTTTACATGTGAAATATCTGGAAAGCCAGGTAATCACAGCACAGAAGTGTGATGTTTTAAAAAGGACCACCAGGGCCAAGGTTCCTGGTTCCTTGTCGTAAGAAGTGGAGCTGAGGTAGGCATGTTAAGGGCAGTGAGTCTTATTGCACAGCTATCTTTTTCTGACTTAGCAAATTAATAAGATTATTTTACATTCATTACTTGTGGAAGATTTTGTTTCCTCCTTTTTTATTTGAAGATTTCTGAGATTTTTTGTTCTTGTTTTATTTCATTAGAAGCTGATGAAATAGACTCAGAAGATAGTACCGAACCTCCACATAAAAGGCTTTGCCTGTCTTCTGAGGATGATCAAAGTATTGATGATTCTACTCCTTGCATATCTGTTGTTGCACTTCCACGTAAGTCACTGTATTAACCTAGAGCTTCCCTTCTGAATCAAAATTCACATTGCAGGAGATTAAACTGGCATTTCAGTTTAACCCACCAGTTGGACCATTATTTTTCTCCTCATTTAGTCAAAAAACCTTTAATCAGCTCTTAATGAGTGCTTATTTATGTGCCAGGCATGGCTCTACATACTTCTGCATATTGCCGAGTTTACTCTATCAACCTTTTATTTTAATTGACCCCCCATCTGAGAGTCTTTTTAGACATTTTCTTCATAGTGATGCTCTCCCACATGAAATTATAATTTCAGTATCATTGTTATTTTGTTTTTAATGTACTGTGTGTATGTATGTATGTCCTTGCTTTCTTAATAAAGAGAGTAAGATTTTTTCACCTCCTCTCCTAAGAAGCATATTCACCCTCATTGAGAAGGCACTCTCTAGAGTAGGTATTTTTATCCTTACGTTACAAATAAGAAAACTAAGGTACTGAGAGGTTAATAACTTGTCTAACGTCTTACCCAGGCATTCTGGTTCTTTTAGTTTATGTTCTTTTTATGGTTATATGGCTAAATGGAAAGTAGAAGCCTGATAAGTTTATTCTCACTAAGATCATTTAGAATATACTGGATTCTAAGCAGGTGTAGTATTTTGGATGAAATACTGTTGGTGAAAGACTACAGCACACCAACTGTAATGTTAGATTATATTTCTCATTTGTTTAGCAAAGAATATGGAATCTGTTGAACTGCGGTGGCCCTCCAAGGCTGGAATAGACACCTCAGCCCCCAACAATGGGGTTTGGGCCCAGGGCTATTGATGATGCACTCTGCGGAGAGGAGGGCATTGCCATATCCAAGAGCTTCCAGTGGAAGAGAACTGAGGCTGGGTTTTCGTTGTCGAAAATCATGTCTTCACAAGCAGATGTGTACTTTGTATTTGGAGTTATTTGCTTGTTAAACTGAGCAGAAAAGGATAGTATTAACTGTAGTCACCATGCTGAACATTATATCCCCAAGATATAAAATAAAAATATTAATTAAGTCAGAATTTTTGCATGATTATCTTGATGTAAATTTTGACCTGTTAATTGATTTGGTTAGAGTGCCTTGAATGTGATTGTAGGCTTGATCTACACTGGATATTTTGTTCTATTTTATGGAGTAAGACTAAATCCTTCACACACTCATTCACTTACCTGGATAAGATAATATGGATGTGTTGACATGAAAGTCCATGAGCTGTTTGATGTTGGGTCATAGCATCACTGTGTAGAGAGTCTGGAACCTAATTTATAGTAAGACTGAATTTATGAGGAGTGGCTTTAAGTTCCCTGGACTAGTAAGAACTATGTTGATAAAATCAATTTAGGAAAGTTTTTACATTTAAAAAAGTCCCAAAAAGCATGAAGTCCTATATCCATCACCATGTGGTACCAATTAAATGGGCAAGTCATTTATGCTGGACTTCATGAAGATGAATATTAATTTTAAAGTTTTAACTTTAATATTGAGGTTTTCTTCAGATGCTTTATAAAACTGAGTAACATTTATCTGTCTGAGCCTTAAAAGTTCTCTTAACTCTCATGTTAATCAGTGTAGATCACTTGCTACTTTTTGCAGTCATTTGCACACATTCACTCCATTACCTATTCATCATTAAAACTCTTGGTGGAGTTTCCCTGGTGACTCAGTGGTAATCTGCCTGCCAATGCAGGAGACACGGGCTTGATCCTTGGTCCGGGAAGATCCCACATACCATGGAGCAACTAAGCCTGTGCGCCAAACTACTGAAGCCACTTGCCACCAACTGCTAAAGCCCGTGTGCCTAGAGTCTGTGCTCCCCAACAGGAGAAACCACTGCAGTAAGAAGCCTGCACACCACAACTAGAGAAAAGCCCCGAGCAGCAATGAAGTCCCATCTCAGCCATACATAAATAAATTATTTAAAAATAAAGCTTTTGTGATTATTCATTTAGATGATCATTGGAGTTACTTTGCCTCTGATTCCTTTTGTTCTTCATGCTGCATTATTTGTCATTCCCATACCACTCTTGCTATTGTATATATTACTGGAGTCTGTTTGTATCCTGCTTCAGACTTTGTTTTCCTGCCACTAATTCCTATCTTTGTGGTTTACTTTCTCTAATACTTCTGCAGTCCTTTGCCCCAGTGGGACCTGTTGACTTTAGCACTTTTCAGTTATTTCTTCTTTACTTGTTTTCTTGTTTCCTTCTTACCGAGTTTCAGTTTTTATGGTAAATCATTATAATCTCTGTCTTGCATTTACCCTGAGATCCTTTTTTCTTCCCCGCACCTTTCTTTTTTTTTTTTTACTTATTTAATGCTGTTTATTGAATCAATATCATTCTGTTAACTTCTTTTTTTATTCATTTTTTATTAGTTGGAGGCTAATAACTTTACAATATTGTAGTGGTTTTTGTCATACATTGACATGAATCAGCCATGGATTTACATGTATCCCCCATCCCGATCCCACCTCCCACCTCCCTCTCTACACCTCACCTTTCTTTGACGAAACCACAACCCTGGGTCAGTTTGTCTGCCTATTTATGACTATACCAGTATAATTAATTGAAAAGGATTGGAGGAAAAAAGCACAAGTAAGGTGACTGCTCTCATTTTAAATTTATGATCATTAAATGGGTTCTTTATGTTGCCTCCCAGTCATACCATACTTATCTGGTATTCTTTCTCCCACTGTAAGATGACTGTTTCATGCATTCTGAAACCTCCAATACTTCTTCCACATTTTTAACTCTCAACTGATAGCGTTGCTTCCTACTTTACTGAGAAATTTAAGTGGCCAGAAAATAGTTTCTGTAAATTTCCACTACTACAAATGTATCTACAAACCCACTTGTATCTATGTCCATGTATTCTTGTCTTTTCACCCAGCTAAGGCCAACCCTTCAATATACCAGATCCTATCCCTTTTGCCATGTAAGGATATAGGTGCAGGAATTCTCTCTTTTCTCTTCTGAATCAACAGTTTTTTCTTTGTCTTCTGGATCATTCCCATCAGCATTACAAAAATACTATAGTTTTTTCTTTAAAAAGTCCTGTTAGCTCACTTTGGGCTCCCATTCAGTTTCTCTACTTCCCTTTAGAACAGAAGTACCTTGAAAGAATTACCTACACTTGCCTTCATTTTTAATTCCTTTGTTCCATAAGCCCACTCCAATCAGTCTCTCAGCTTTTAATGCTATGCTATAAATGTTGTCTCCAAAGACTTTCTTTTTTCTTCTTTTTTTCTTTTTTTAAGTTTTTTTCCAAAGACTTTCTTGTTGCTAAATTCAGTGGTGATTTTTTTTAGTCTTTGTCTTACTTGATCTCCCCACATTTTTAATCACTCCTCTCTCAGACTTGTTGTCACTTGGCTTCCACGGAATGCATTTTTCTAGTTTTCCCTCTGTTCATTTCTTCTTAGTCTCTTATGCTGACATGTCCACATCTCAGTAGTACCCAGGATTCAGTCTTAATTGCTTTTTTCTGTTTTTACTCCCTAGAATTCATGCTTTTAAATCCCCCGAGTTACTCCAGTCCATACCTCTCTTAACTCCAGGTGTTTGGGTTTAAACATCTAGCATGTTTAAAACTGACCTACATTTTTAAACTTGCTTCTTTCTAAACTCTTCTCCCCATTTTATTATTGGTAGGTACATTCTTCCAGTAGATCAGGTTAAAAACTTTTTTAATTCCATTCTTGACTTTTTACTTTCTTTCTTATTTGGTTTGTCTGCATGTCCTGTTGGCTCTACCATCAAAATATATCCACAATTTGAACTACTTATCACCCTCACTTGCCTTCACTCTAGTCCAAGTCACACCTTTTACCTAGTAATAGATTATTAAATTAGCTTCTTCACTGATCTCCTTCCAGCTAGGGCTGTCCTTCAGGCTATTTTCCCCTTAGCAGCCAGGGTGATCCTGTTAAAATAAAACTCAGTTTATATCACTCCTCTGCTCTAAATCTTACAATGGTCACCTCAGTGGAAGAGAATTAAAGCCAAAGTCTTCATTTACAGTGGCCTTCAAATCCTACACAATATCTTGTTTGGTCTAACTGTCCAAACTGTCCTTGCAGTTCCTGTGAACAATCTGGGCAGGTGCTCAGAACGTTTTTGCACTTGGCTTTCCATCTGCCTTAAGTGCTATCTCTCAAGATACCTTCATGACTAGCCCTTTTCCTCAATTTGTTCCAAATCCTGGTTACTTTTCCTGGCATCCTATTTAAAATTTCAAACACTTGACCCCACTCCCAACACATTTCCCATACTTCATTTTTTCTCCTTAACACTTTTCCAACATAATATTGTGTTAATTTTGTCTTCCCCCTAGACTCTCTAAGTGCCTTGAAGGCAGAATTTGGCGGGAGGTGGGGGGGGGTGTTTATTGTTGTCTCTCCGTTGCCCAGAGCAGTACCTCGCATGTATAAGTGCGCTGCTGCTGCTGCTAAGTCACTTCAGTCGTGTCCGACTCTGCGACCCCATAGACGGCAGCCCAACAGGCTGCCCGTCCCTGGGATTCTCCAGTCAAGAACGCTGGAATGGGCTCCCATTTCCTTCTCCAATGCATGAAAGTGAAAAGTGAAAGTGAAGTCGCTCAGTCATGTCCAACTCTTAGTGACGCCGTGGACTGCAGCCCACCAGGCTCCTCCGTCCATGGGGTTTTCCAGGCACGAGCACTGGAGTGGGGTGCCATTGCCTTCTCCAGTGCAGGAAAGTGAAAAGTGAAAGTGAAGTCGCTCAGTCCTGTCCCAACTCTTCGCGACCCCATGGACTGCAGCCCACCGGGCTCCTCCATGGGGTTTTCCAGGCACGAGTAATAGAGTGGGGTGCCATTGCCTTCTCCGTTGGCGCACAGTAGATACTTGTTAAGCAAGTATATCTGTATGCATATCATACACACTTAGGTGTATGGGTGTATTGGCGAGGAATATGTTAAGAAATTAAATGATCACATCCTAATTCTTTGGCTATATTTTTTAATAATTAGGACCTGCTTTTATTACTCTGGAGATGAACTGTTCTTTTTCTTGAAGTTTCAGAAAATGATCAGAGCTTTGAGGTGACCATGACTGCAACCACAGAGGTGGCAGATGATGAGATTGCTGAGGGAACTGTGACACAGATCCAGGTATAGTAAGTCTTTGTATGGCTGTAAGAACATTATCCTTCATACATAACCTTAGCTGATCAAATGATGAGACAAGATTCTGTCCGACAACATGTGTGAGTGCTCCGTCTCTTCATTCACATCTGACTCTGCAACTCCATAGACTGTAGCCTGCCAGGCTTTCTGTCCATGGGCTTCTCCAGGCAAGAATACTGGAGTGGGTTGCTATGCCCTCCTCCAGAGGATCTTGCCGACCCAGGGATTGAACCAGTCTCATACCTCCTGCATCGTCTGGTGGGTTCTTTTCCTCTAGCTCCACCTGAGAAGCCCTGAGTCTGAAAAAGTAGCAATCACAGAATGGAAGTAAGACTTATTATTCATCCAGGTTTCCAGTCCCCGAATGAGTTTCAGAATTGTAAACAATGATAGAATTTTAAAGCTGATTCCTTGTGGAGTGGTTCACATCTGTTGAACTAGATAATGCATGTGCATTCTCTATCTCCCTAGAGTGACCTCTTTTGAGCTGTTAAATAACTTTAAATTTTATCTACCAGTTATATGAGATACTGATTGGGATATAAAACTTTTTAAAATAAGGTTTACCCATCAGTTATCTGTAGTGACTGATTTAGAAAGGTTCCATGTGTTCTCTGCCCTAATGTGAATGAAAGCTGGTCATCTCAAATACATTTTAACTATAACAGTGGTAGTCATAGTTGCTTTTGATAACCTGTACAACTAGATAGATTTTACCGTGTGTTGAGGTTAAATAATTAGCCTGTTTTCCTATATGAACTTCTTTAATTGTTTCGTGTTATTTCTGCCAAAAGCAATCATCATTCTTAGCTCTCTTCAGTGGCCAGCAGCTTAAATCTATTTTACTTGTAAGTTTATTTCTGGCTGATTGTTCTTTTGCTCTGTCTCTGCATTTAATAAAATACTTTTTAGCAGACAGTAGAGTCATTGTACCATTATTTTCTTAATCGAAGCATCATAATGACCCTTCTTCATTACGAAGTAGGTTCAAGTTGATACATGTCATGGACTAAGGACGTTTCAGAAGGGTGTACTGTGAATTACAGTGAGGAGCTTGTGAGCTTCAGAGCAGTCCCAGAATGACAGGGTTTCCAGAGAAGCAAGTCTCTAATATGTTTCAGACATCTTTGAGGCAGGCTGGGGAATTTGAACAGAAATTTTTTCTAAATCCTCAGAAACAATAGGGCACATTCTTTCTTCAGAATGGATCTTGCAGGACTTCCCTGGTGGCCCAGTGCTTAAGAATCCACCTGCCAGTGGTGTAAACATGGATTCGATCACTGGTCCAGGAAGACCCCACATGCAGTGGGGCAGAGAAGCTGCTGCACCACAACTGCTGAGCCTGTGCTCCAGGCCGGGGAGCCACACCCGCTGAAGCCTCACAGCCTAGAGCCCTGCTCTGGGGCGGGAGAAGCCACTGCAGCAAGAGGCCAGTTAACTGTGACTAGAGAGCCAAAAAGAAATAAGCACTTTCAAAAACAGTTCTTGTCATTCATTTCATTTGTAGTGTAGGCTCACTTCCATTTTTAGCATGTTGAAAATAACTATATGCATATGTCTGATTTGGTTTACAACCTAGTTACTATCAGATTGATCAGTGGCAATGTACACAAGTTTTAGGGTTGTTTTGTTTAGATTATTTCCAAAGAGTTAATGAGTTACAATCTAATACTGACCTCTTGGTTTGTTATTACCATTTTAGTGAGTGAAAAACTTTTAATAATTTCTAATTTTTTTTAAATGAGATTAACATTAGATTGGGAGTGACAGTCAGCACAGTTTAAAGTTCAGAAATAGTGTGATTTTTGCTGTGCCCTTTGTGTCAAACTAGGTGTAGTTATTTCACCTAGTTTAGTAGCTAGTGCCCCTTATCCCATTGCAGTGGTGGGACTAGGTTGAAAAACAATTAGGAACTAAAACTTCCTGTGTATGTAGTACATTGTGGTTGCAAGAGATATTTAGTGAGTGAAATATTTATTTTCAGATTTCTAAACCTGTATATATGATAAATAAGAAACCCAACAACCAATTCACAAAGACTTCATTTAGAAAAAGCAACGGTAAGTTAAACAAAGCCTGAGTAACTTGAAAAGATTTATACATAAAGTAGGAAAGTGTCTGGTACTAAGTTGCTTCAGCCATGCCCAACTCTTTGCAACACTATACACTATAGCCAGCCAGGCTCCCCTGTCCTTCTCCAGGCAAGAATACTGGAGTAGGTTGCCATGCCCTCTTCCTCCTAGGGATCTTCCAACCCAGGGATCAAACCCAAGTCTCATGTCTCCTGCATTGGCAGGCAAGTTCTTTACCACTAGAGCCACCTGGAAAGTTCTAAAGTAGTGAGAAACAGGGGTAAAATACCAAAAAAATTAATCACTATCTGTATACTAAGTATAGATAGATAGCCTCTTAGGTACTAAGTCTCGTAATACACTCACTTTAATTGACAGTGTTGAAACTGCTAGAATTTAGTAATTATTTACTTCATTTGATGATTTTCGTCATGTTTAACATTACATGGTTTAAGTAATGTAAATCTTCGTCAGGAAATTTTGCACCATAAGGCATTAAGTGTTTACCCAAAGATAGTAATTAATCATGAAAGGTTTATTCCTGAGATTCATAGAGTGGGCTTTTCTATATATTTAGACTCACTTTGGGAAATGGTGATTTTATTCTTTCAACAAACCTGTTAACGTAGGAGAAAGTCATCTCAGGAGACTTTTCTGCATTTCTTAAAAGTATTGTATGTATCAAGATCTTTTGATAGCTCTTCGTATTGTCCTTGATACGTAACTCCTATATCAAATCTTACAGAATTGTGATCCTCAGATTGTAAGAGGCCTTGGATATTGTCTGACTAGTCTGTTTAAGTTCTCAGCTTTATAAGATCCTCTTAACCTTTAAAAGAAAAAATCTATATGACTTTTTTGTATATGACACATAAATGCTGGGTTATAAAACTTTTCTTGTTCTAGTGATTTCTAGCTTTTGCCCATTTTTTTTTAAACACATTAATAAATACAAAATATTACCACTAGGTATAAAAATAGTAGGTAACAATAGGCATGGCTTTTCTCCTCACTGTGCCTTGGTTCTTCATGGACAGCTTCTCTTTTTGAAGTGAGATGTTTTCATATCTTCTTGAAAATAGAGATCCAGTTTCTGCCTACTCAAGAAACGGTCAATCTTTGTTATGACCTACCTCCAGAAAGTGACGCAGCTTAGTAGTTGATCCAGGCCAGCTGGGTTGAGTGATCACTAGGCCTATGACTCTCCTCTTCTCCTGGTCTGCATATAACAGGCTCATCATACCTGATATGGTAGCATTGTTGCCATATCTTCCTCACTTAGACCATAGCTCTCTCTAGCCCACAGCCAAATCTCTTAAAAACAGCTTTGTTCCTGCAGAATTTTCTAGATATTTCCTAATTGCTGATAGCTGCATAAATACACTGAAAGCCACTGAATTGTATACTTTAAAGGGTGAATTTTATGATATGTGACATATCTTAATAAAGCTTATTTAACTATTTCTCAATACAGGCTATTTTATTGCAATAATAAAAAAATTAGTACCATATGGTTCTTTGAAAAGAAGATGCCTTTAGGAGGGTAGGTATCAGCTCTAAATACCTACCCTCCTAAATGTAAAAGTTGTCAGTAAACAATATGCAGACTACAGTTTTGCAGTAACATCTTTTGAAGTAGCCTGTTAATCTTTTAGATTGATCAACAGGTTACATTACAGATGACCATATATTTAGGCAGCAAACTACCTATGAGAACATGAATATCATGACACTCGACCCCAGCATTTCCATCTTATTTTATATATGAGCTTGTCTTATACATAGTAGTAGCAGTAGTAGTTGAGTTGCTAAGTCATGTCCGACTTGCGACCCCATGGACTATAGGTTCCTCTGCCTGTGGGATTCTCCAAGCAAGAATACTGGAGTGGGTTGCCATTTCCATCTCCATGTTTTATACATATAGATATACAAATGGCTTTTTTTCTTGTTGAAGATAATTTTGTTTTCATGCTGTCTTAAAAGCAAGAAAATATTTGTCTTTCTATGAATTCAGTGTAATTTTATTATATCTAAAACGAATTTCATGTTACTAGAAATTCATTTGTTTTAGATACAGCAGAGTTTTATAATGCTTAGCATTACACAGGTGAATCAGGTTGGGTGTTAAATCAAGCTGCCACTGTTTTGTTTTGTTTTGTTTTGTTTTGTTTGCCTTTTCAAGATTCTACAGAATGAACAACTAGATGAAATATCTCCCTTGGGTAATGAGGAGGTTTCAGCAGTTAGCCAAGCATGGTTTACAACTAAAGAAGATAAGGATTCTCTAACTAACAAAGGTAAGATACACTGAATTTCAGTGACCAGTGGCAAAAGTGAGTGTCAAAAAGAGCTTGTAGTCATAAGGATCCTAATTTGGGCCTTCATAATTATGGTTGAATAGTTACAGTAATTTGAACCTAATCGAATTAAATTTGGCTCTGAATGGGACTGGGGAACCAATATTCATTTTACAATAATTGATCACTTGTCCCATATGAAGTAGGTTATAAACAAATGCACAGTGTTAACCGTTTAAGTGAATACAGTTATTGCTTATGGGAGAAGAAAGTCAAACCTTTTCAAAGTTCTACTAACTTTGATCTGATAAGTTGCTTAGAGGTTTAAAGTAAGTGTTTATAGTGCTACCGCACTTGTAAGGATTGCTAGGAAGCTACTTCAAGAAAGTGAGGGTTGTGTATATGCCACTCTGAAGTAAGGAAAGGAAACAAGAAATATGTAAATAGATTGTTTTCAACCCCTATACAGTAACCTCATTAAGAATTAATTACTCACTTGATATTCCAATATGTTATGTTTACCTTGTCCTAGAATCTTTTATATGTATTTTTTTCCCATAAAACTTATTTTTCACTGCAGAAATTTTTCAGAAAGTTTTGAGTGTGATTTGGCTTTTACACTTTTTATAAGTCCTGTCCTGCTGAAAGGGTAAGAGATGTAATTAAGAGGAAGTATTTTTTATGACTCTTTTACGTAAATTACCCCTGTTTACTAGGGTCACTTGTATTCTTTCTTAAAAACCAGAGGTCAAAAAAAAAAAAACAGAGGTCACAGAAGCAACTTTGCCTAGGGATTTTTCAGATTTCAGATGAATAAGACATTAAATTAGCTACATTCTTTCCTCTCAAAGAATAACATTATCAATAGCATTACTTGTTTTCTTTTAAAGGACATAAATGGAAGCAGGGGATGTGGTCCAAGGAAGAAATTGATATTTTGATGAACAATATTGAACGCTATTTGAAGGTATCTTATGGCATATTTTTTTTGTTTCACTAATTTTTTGATTGCCAGTTGCAAAAATACCAAAGTAGCACTTTTAAGTAATTATGTAATAATTGGCTAACATGTTGTAGCTTAATAATTTCAGTTGTATTATAGTATATTTACACATTTTGAATTCTCAGTTTAAAACAGCTTTATTGCTTTAGGTAACACCCCAAAGTTAAGACAGAATTTTAATAGCCTCTCAGAATCTTAAAGCTCTATCTTTTCAAGTAGCCTATAAATTAGAATTTAAATTTATGCTATGTAAAGCCTAAGACATGTGTCTTCTTTGAATTTATGACATCTCACTAGTCCTTTCCCTTAAAAAAAATTAGTTCATTTTCATATTCAGGCTTATATCCTGTTTCATATTCAAGCTTAGTCATCCTCTTCATTAGATGACTGATGAAAACAATTTTTAAAGCACTGGAGATAGAAATTGCTTTAATACATAGTGTTAGCCTTTCAAATGCCAACAGTCCATGTGTGGTAATTCTGAAAACATGTGAAGAATGATAGAAGGCATTGTTTACATATTGGATAACATGTTGGGAATTGTGCATGAGAGCAGAAGGAAGAGTTTACTCTCAGGGTTAGGACAGGTACAGAAAATATTTACAAGAGTAAGGATTTGAGCTGAGTTTCAAAGAAAGGGGTAAGACTTAGGGGTAGAGTAGGGCAGAGTACATCATGAGAAACGCTGGGCTGGATGAAGCACAAGCTGGAATCAAGATTGCCGGGAGAAATATCAATAACCTCAGATATGCAGATGACACCAGCCTTACAGCAGAAAGCGAAGAACTAAAGAGCCTCTTGATGAAAGTGAAAGAGGAGAGTGAAAAAGTTGGCCTAAAACTGAACATTCACACTGCAATGTTGTAAAGTGATTAGCCTCCAACTAATAAAAATAAATGGAAAAAAAAAATAAAACTGAACATTCAGAAAACAAAAATGGCATCTGGTCCCATCACTTCGTGGCAAATAGATGGGGCAACAGTGGCAGACTTTATTTTGGGGGGGCTCCAAAATCACTGCAGATGGTGACTGCAGCCATGACATTAAAAGACACTTACTCCTTGGAAGGAAAGTTATGGCCAACCTAGACAGCATATTAAAAAGCAGACACATTACTTTGCCAACAAAGGTCCGTCTAGTCAAGGCTATGGTTTTTCCAGTAGTCATGTATGGATGTGAGAATTGGACTAAAAAGAAAGCTGAGTGCCAAAGAATTGATGCTTTTGAACTGTGGTGTTGGAGAAAACTTTTGAGAGCCCCTTGGACTGCAAGGAGATCAAACCAGTCAATCCTAAAGGAAATCAGTCCTGAGTATTCATTGGAAGGATTGATGTTGAAGCTGAAGCTCCAGTACTTTGGCCACCTGATGCAAAGAGCTGAATCATTGGAAAAGACCCCGATGGTGGGAAAGATTGAGAGCCCTAGGAGAAGGGGACGGCAGAGGATGAGATGGTTGGATGGCATCACCGACCCGATGGACATAAGTTTGAGTAAACTCCCGGAGTTGGTGATGGACAGGGAGGCCTGGCATGCTGCAATCCCTGGGGTCACAAAGACCTAGACACAACTGAATGACTGAACTGAACTGAGGGCTGGAGGGAACATTATGAGTTAATGATATGTGTTGATTCAGAGTTCAAACCCAGAGTATATTAACATAACCCTTTAACCTGAACCAAGATAATTGGCTGCTAGAACTTGAGCTTTGAAGTTTAATTCTCCTATTGTTTAATAGTTTACATATAATTTTTCACTATTTTCAATACATTGCTGCCTAGTATGTCCACATTCTTAAGCTTAATTTTAAGCTACACTCCTCCCAAACTACACTTTATAAAAAGAAAAAACTTTACTTCTTTATTAGGGAAGGAAGATCCTTCCCACCAAGCTAATTGTTTTAAGAGAAACAGAAATTCAGTGACTATTGAAATATATCCAAAAGTGTATTAAAAGTTGTCCACTAACCACACACACTTTAGTTAAAATTGGGGAAATGCTACAGGTTTAGTAACCAGTTGGTAAAAAAAAAGAAAAAAAACCACTGAATTTGGGAAATTAAGAAGCTGATTTCTTATGTAAGAAATTAGAGTAGATGATTTCCAAGGACTCTTCCAACTTGATGGTTAAAGGGCAGCTTTATGATTAAGACCTTTTAGATGACCATTTCATTTGACCATGTTGTGAGTAGTAAGAACTTTAAATTACATATTTGAAATAGTTGGAGAAGGAAATGGCAACCCCCTCCAGTATTCTTGCCTGGAGAAGCCCAGGGACAGAGGAGCCTAGTGGACTATGGGTCGCACAGAGTCGGACACGACTGAAGCGACTTAGCAGCAGCAGTTGAAATAGAATTAGCAGAGAAAAAACAGATAAGCAAGTAGTCTTCTGAGGAAGCCTGGTGACTAAATACTGGCTAAGAAGGAAAGTGAGGAAATGAAATAATTTAAGAGTTTTTTTTTTTAATTGAGGATGGTTAGAATGATAATGGAATTGTCAGAAGTAAGAAATGTCCAAAAAAGATACACTGATCTTGGGAAGAGATAATTTATTTGATTTTTATTTTTGACTGTGATTTTTTATTATGTGGTACTCTTGCAAGAACATTATGGAGCTGTTTTTTAAGCAATTAATTACATGTCATATATTCCATATTTGGGGTAAAAATATAAGATACTGTCACAAGGAACCAAGAAAAACAAAAGTCTTTTCATCTCACTGTACTACCGTCCTGCAACACAGTGCCTTACATCTAGGTACTTGTAAATATTTAGGTTTAATTGTTTCCAGACTTGAAATTGCATAAAAGAATTTTGAAAAGGATTCTAAAATTTAGAAACTTTTTACTGTAAAGTTTAATACAGTCAAAAGAGTGTATATAATGCGTCAGTGGAATTTTACCTGTTTTAAAATTTACATAAGTAGGTTTATTCTCTGGGTATTCTGTAACTGGCTTCTTTTCTTCAATATTGTGATTTTGAGATTCATCCCCTATTGGGTTTTTTTTTTAATTGAAACCTGTGTTTCATCATGTGAATATATAAGTTATCCATTCCACAGTTAATGGTCATTTGGGTTCCTTTTAGTTTTTTGCTGTTAATTTGTTTAATTCTGGTGGGTGTAAAAGGTATTTATTCTGGGTTTAATTTGTGTTTATCTGATTATGTGTTGTTTTTTTTTTCTTCTTTATTTTTATTAGTTGGAGGCTAATTACTTTACATCATTGCAGTGGTTTTTGTCATACATTGAAATGAATTAGCCATGGATTTACATGTATTCCCCATCCCAGTCCCCCCTCCCACCTCCCTCTCCACCCGATCCCTCTGGGTCTTCCCAGTGCACCAGGCCCGAGCATTTGTCTCATGCACCCAACCTGGGCTGGTGATCTGTTTCACCCTAGATAATATACATGTTTCGATGCTGTTCTCTTGAAACATCCCACCCTCGCCTTCTCCCAGAGTCCATAAGTCTGTTCTATACATTGGAGTCTCTTTTTCTGTTTTGCATATAGGGTTATCGTTACCATCTTTCTAAATTCCATATATATGTGTTAGTATACTGTAATGGTCTTTATCTTTCTGGCTTACTTCGCTCTGTATAATGGGCTCCAGTTTCATCCATCTCATTAGAACTGATTCAAATGAATTGTTGGCCATTTGTGTTTCCTCTTTGAAATTCTTGTTTGTGTCTTTTATCAGTTTTTTCTATGGGGTTGTTCATTATAATTTTCTTGATGTTCTTATTTTATGCTGGATACTAATGCTTTTTCGGTTACGTTACAGATCAGATATCTTGTCCCAAGTTAGTGGCTCGTCTTCATTCTCTCTAGTATCATTTGATGAAAAAAAATTCTTCATTTCAGTGTCAGAATTATCTATCATCTTTTTATTGTTGTGTTTCTGTGTGTTTAAGACATCCTCCTCTGTTTCAGGGACATAAAGATACTCTCATATGTTATAGTTTTGCCTTTCACATTGTTTTTTTTTTTTTTTACTGTGGTTATGAGATATCATTTCAGTGTTACTGGGTTGTGGTTGTTTTTGCTTTCTTTTTGTATTGATAACACTTGTTTCAGCATTATTAGGGAATGTCTGTCCTTTCCCAGTCTACAATACCCATTCTGTCTTAACTCAAACTTAAAAAGATGTGTTTCTAGCTTTTCTGATTTGTTCCTAGGTTCTGTTTGATACCTACACCAGTACAGCACTGTCTCAGAAGCCTCAGTGTCTATCTGAAGAGGCAGGTCACTTCATCAATGTCTTGGCTGTTCTTGGCCATTTGCTCTCCCGTTATAAATTTAGATTCAGCTTGCAAAGAATGAAAAACTTGGAATTTTTATTGGAATTACATTGAATCTGAATCAGTTTGAAAGGAATTGACATCATTTTAATATTCTGACTTCCTATTGAAGAACATTTTATAGCTCTCTGTATTAGTTGGGCTTCCCTGATAGCTCAGTTGGTAAAGAATCAGCCTGCAATGCAGGAAATCCCAGTTCGATTTCTGGGTCCGGAAGATCCACTGGAGAAGGGATAGGCTATTCAGCTGGTAAAGAATCCGCTTGCAATGCAGGAGACCTGGGTTCAATCCCTGAGTGGGGAAGATCTGCTTTAGAAGGGAAAGGCTACTACGCACTCCAGTATTCTGGCCTGGAGAATTCAGTCCATGGGATCACAAAGAGTCAGACATGACATTGAATCTGAATCAGTTTGAAAGGAAGTAACATCTTTTTAATATTCTGACTTCCTCCTGAAGAGCATTGTATAGCTCTTTGTTTTAGTTAGTTCCTCTTTAATTTCACTTGATAGTTTTATGTTTCCTTCATGAAGGAATTGCATAATTTACCTAAGATTTAGTCCTAATTTTGATGCTATTACTAGTGAATAGTTTTAAAGATTTTTATCAGCTTTGCCTAGAAATACAAATGACTTTGTTAACTTTGTAACCAGCATTCTTGCAAGTACTCTTAAATAATTTTTTCATAGATTTGTGGGTTTCTACGTGTATAACATCTGTAAGTAATTCTTCTAATCTTTATGCTTTTGTAAAAGTGGGGTGTAGTTGGTGTACAGTATTATATGTTTCAGGTATACATAGCGATTTACAATATTTAAAGGTTATACTCCATTTATGATTATAACAGTCTTTATGCTTTTTGAATGTTGGATTTTATGATTGCTCTTTCCATAAATGTTGAGATTTTACTTTTTTCCCTGTAAGTCTACTTGTGTAATTCATTACTAATTTTTGTGAAACTAATAGAAACTCATTCCTAGAGTAAGCTTACTTTTTGCATTGAGTATTTTACTGGGTTCAGTGTGCTAAAAGATTTTGAGGAGTTGGGTGATCTATTTTGATGACTGAACTTGACCTGAAAGATCTTTTCTAAAACTCTCCTTGCCTGGTTTCGCTTTTAAGATGATGCTAGTCTAATGAGTGGGAAGTTATCCCCCTTTTTATATTTAGGATAGTTTAAAATCAGAATTATGTTTCTCCTAATTGTTCGGTAGGATTTACTTGTGAAGTCATCTTGGCCTACTGTTTTCTTTGTGGGAAAATTATTAATAACTGGTTAAATTTTCTTCATGGTCTGTGCTTATTGTTAGATTTTTTTCTCTCCTGAGTCAGTTGGTAAGTTGAATTTTTCTAGGAATTTGTAAATTATATGTAAGTTTTCAGATTTATTGCCATAAAATTTTCATGAGGTTCAACTATATAATCTCTAGGCTCTAGGCTCTTTTTTTAAGGTTTGTTGTAAGTTTATCTTTTTGTCTTTTATTTAGTCTTGTGGAACTTTTCAAAGAAGCAGTTTTTAGCATTGCTTATCTTTTCTATTTTTTATTATATTAATTTTGTTCTTAAGACTCCTTCCTTTTCTACTTTATTTAGATATAATTTTTTATAATTTTAAAACTGGTTTACAGGACTTTATTGAATTAATACAACTTATTTTTGGAATATTTAAGTATCATTTCTTATTTGACTTATAATTAGCAATACATTATTTTTCTAAATGCCATTGCTTTTAACATTAAAAAATCTTTTAAAGAGCATAGTATATCCATATGCATTTTATGAGAAATCCCTAAATCAAAGAAATGTACCCATTTAGGCACGCGGAATAAAAGATGCTACAGAAATCATCTTTGAGATGTCAAAAGACGAAAGAAAAGATTTCTACAGGACTATAGCATGGGGTCTGAACCGGCCTTTGTTTGCAGTTTATAGAAGAGTGCTTCGCATGTACGATGACAGAAACCATGTGGGAAAGTATGAAAACTTGTAATACTGCATGTTTTCATGTAACTTAGATGGGAAATATTTAAGGAACTATCATTTTTTAACTAAAATTATGATCGAAGCCTAATTAGAGACAGTTGCAGATTACTATTGAGCAGTGTTAGTATTTTTATTCCCCAGGTACATGTTGTAAATATGGTGAAACCTCATTACAATAAGGCCTCTTTTAGAAATTAGAATCTGAAATACCTTATATAGGTTTGATATAAGACTTAGTTCAGTTAACATCAAGACATCAAAATCTGCTTTTGTATAAAGTAGTGTTGAAGAAAGTATAAAAGTAGTTAAAGATTTAGGAGATGTAAAAAAACTCTTAAATTCATTGGTAATGTTTTTCCTATTCATTTTTATAGTGTAACATTTCCTAGGGCAGTCAGTGACTTTTTATTTTTTTAATAAAGGCAGAACAGAAAATAACTAAATTTCTGGATATAATGCATGGATTTCTGTCATAGATAATATACAAAGGAAGCCTTCATACCTTCAATGCAATGATAATAATGGTGTTATTGACATATTTTAAATTTCTCTTTGGGACTTGTAGATGGTAGTAGTGTGGCATATTAGATACTGCTTTTAAAAAGAAGATTGCATTGGTTATGTTGAGTACTTGCTACTAAAAAAAGTCTTGACTTTGGAACAAGAATATATCAGTTGTCCATGCGTAGGTAGAGAAAGAGAACTTGAATTTTTTCAGTGACTTGTAAGAGCTGACCATAGATTTTCTTTTTAGCTCCAGTTTACCTGTCATCATCTTTCAGAATAGCCATGGTATTAGAGTACCTGAATATAACTTGAAATAACACAAGTGTTAGGCAGCATAGAAGAAAATATGTTTTAAATGTTGAATTTTCCTAGAGAAAATTGTTACAGTGCTAACTTTTATTAATAGCTTAAAATATTTTTTGAGGAAAAAAACATTAATTTTTATTAATCTACTTAGAAATTGGTTACTTTAAAAATATTATGAATATGCCAAGTGATTAACATTTGGCTCCCTAAGTGAAATTCTGATTTATATTAAGGCTTTTAGCATTCTTTGTTTAATTGATCTTTTAAAAATTTCTTTGAATTTCTAGATATACACCTGAAGAAATTGAAAAGCTCAAGGAGTAAGTTTGACTTTTTTTCCCATTTTACTTTGAAAATGTCAAGAGATTATTGGTAGACTGGTATAATTTAATCCTGCTGTTAAGCAAAGTTGACCATATAAAGACCTTATCAAATCTATACTTACACAGAGTAGCCATATCCATAAATTCAGTCTTCTTTTATTGTCCTTAGACAACTAATAGGGGTTACAAAAGAGATTAGATGGCCATTCTTGGTAACCTCAAGACTTAGGTTACCCTAAATTTGGGGGACTTACATACCAGGATCAACACCAAGGTTGTGCTAATGGCTTAGTTTAGAATGATTTAGAGTTGGCAGATGTTTCACCAACTATACAGTCCTATTTTGTAGGAAACATAATTTGGGGACCATGAAGTATGGGTTAACGGACTGTGTTGATCATGAAAGGAAAAAAAAAACCTGATCCAGTTTATGATAATAAGAACTTGCGAAATTTTTCAGGTGTCTGAGAAGAGCTTGTTAGGAGTACTCAAAAGGGAAAAATCTGGGGATTGCCTGGGAGATTGTGTCAGTAACCTGAGGGGAAATTTGGTCTTTTGAACACATATCCAAGTTACTTATTTCTTCTCTGACCCAGGAAAAAGGCAATTGCTGCCTGTTTTTTTTCACCCACAGACAACTGTGGACCCCAAAAAAAGGCCACACTTTCAAACTTTGGCTCTCAAAGTATTGCTGCCCACCACTTCCAAACCAGTCAAATGGGAAGAAGAAGAATGAAGAATAAATGATGAAATTAAAAGGGAGAAACAGTTGAACCAAATGCTGATTGGCAGACTCTTGTTTTAGGCTCCGGATAAAGCATGGCAATGACTGGGCAACAATAGGGGCGGCGCTAGGAAGGAGTGCCTCTTCCGTCAAAGATCGGTGCCGACTGATGAAGGACACTTGCAACACAGGTACTGTTCTTTGTCGCCATTCAGCCCTCCTGCCCTTTCACATGCTTCCTTCTTTTCTGTTGTGGAAAGAGCTTTACTACTCACTGAAGTTTACGTTTTTTCTTCTAGTGCCTTTTCTTTTCAACTAGACCCAACTAATCCTTTATTTTTGAGCTTTGTGTAGTAAGGTGATATTTTCATAGGGACATATCGCCTCAGCTTCAAAGGTTTTATTTAGGTCTAGCAGGTTTCTGTTTTGGAGCAATTCAAAACTGCTCCAGGTGGGAAAGTATTTTTGTCCTATACAGGTACTTTTAAGGCATATGTGCAGGAAGTAATTTTAAGTCCATCTGACTATTGAACTGATGTTGGCAACAGCTTATCAACCCATATTTATGAAAATCTTTAGTTCAGGCATGTCCCAACTTAGGAAGAAGCTGTGTTCCAAAGGCTGTACATACTTTGCCTATTTCAAACTTGAAGAACTTTTTCCACAGAAAAAAATTGTGATTGGTGTTTCAGTTCCCAGGCCAGACCACAGATACCCAGTTCATGTATACAAATTACTGATTGATGATACTGATCAACCTAACCTTTGTGACCAACAGCAGTATTTAGGCTCCACCACCAACTCTCACTTACAACCTGTTTCCTCTGTAAAATGATGAAGGTAGAATAAATGACCTCATAGTTTGCTTTTTAGCCTTCAAATTATCTGAAGGATCCACAACCTGTGCTCAGTCTTTCAATTAGAAATAAGCTCATTCATTCTCAAGCTAGGCTTAAGCTTCTCGGGAATATATTTTTGATCTCACCCCCTAAAGTGGAATCAGGAATGTTTCCTGCTTAACCAGTCCACCAGCGGTATTACCTCTAAGGCAGTAAAAACATAAATTTCACCAACTCTTATTGTGTAGTGAATGAAGCAGAAATGGGAGCTTTAGGTTTACAGTGGGACCCCAGAGGTTGATGTAAGACATTGAGTATAGAAGCCCTTTTGTGAGCATAATGGAAAAACATTATGGCATTCCCTGATTGCCAGCCTGAAGGAATGCTCTGCCATTACCTTTCCTTGTTGCTATTTATTGTTTTGGATCAGGAGTTTTGTCTTTTGACCACACCATGAGACGACAGTCTGAGTTTCCCCTTCCTTTTTTGCCATACTAAAATAGGAGAGCAGGAACTTTGTCTTGAATCTCCAGAGCTGTGCTTAGCAGATGAATTAATGAATCCCGGAAAGGCAAGCACATGGCCTTTTTGAAATTTGCAGCTACTACTAAGAAAATAGAAACTTTAGAGTGGAAGACGTTTTAAAACGGTTCTCTTTTTTTTTTTTCCCGTTTTTCCGCTTAAGCTTTTTTAAAGAAAAAGACCAAAGGGAACATGTGATAGTGTTAGTAGGTTTATGGATTCAAAAAAACTGAAACAGAAATATGTGTGAATACCAGTCTCAGACTGGTATTTTATCACAGCAGCCTGGAGTTGGGACAGAAAGTGGTATAAACCAAGTTTTTGTTTTTATTGAAATGGGTGGGAAGCCATAGGTATTGTTCTATTTGTCCATCTTCATTCATTCCTGTAAGTAAAGGTTTCTGTTGAGCTTACTACTACACTTCTGCACAGCAGGGAATCTTTGGTGGGACTAAGAAAAAAGTATGAGTTTCTGTGTCCATCAAGCCATCAACGGAACACTTCCCAGTTAGGACTCAGTATAACTTGAGAGAATATAATTCTTTCTAGCTATGTTTTAGATCATTTTTCTTTCCTTAAAGAGTCAGTCGGTGCTTTCTATTAGGATGCTGTGTTTTCATTTGTAGTACTAAGAACCTTTGTTGTTTAGTCACCAAGTCGTGTCCAGCTCTTTGTGACCCCATGAACTATAGCCTGCCAGCCTCCTCTGTCCCTGGGATTTCCCAGCCAAGAATACTGGAGTGGGTTGCCATTTTCTACTCTAGGAGATCTTTCCGACCCAGGGATCAACCCCGCATCTCCTGTGTTGCAGGCAGACTTTACCACTGAGCCACCTGGAAGCCCACTAAGGACCTCACTGGGCTGGTAACTGTCTTAGTAGTTACATACAGGTTTTCCGTATGTCATTCAGAAATAATGCTGACAACTACTGCATACTTCCGATCAGTCCTTTGAAATACAGTGCTGAATCTGACTTGCAAAATAAGAAAAAGGTAGCAGTGGTCATCTGGATGCTCTCCTCCTTTCAGGGAAGTGGACAGAAGAAGAGGAAAAGAGACTTGCGGAGGTGGTGCACGAATTGACGAGCACCGAGCCAGGTGACACAGTCACTCAAGGCGTGTCTTGGGCAGCTGTGGCAGAGCGCGTGGGCACTCGCTCAGAAAAGCAGTGCCGCTCCAAGTGGCTCAACTACCTGAACTGGAAGCAGAGCGGGGGCACCGAGTGGACCAAGGAGGACGAGACCAACCTCGTCCTCAGGTGCGTGTCCTGAGCCTTCCCGTGGGGAGGGCTGCTCATGCAGAGCTGCTGTGGCTGTCGAGACTGGCTTCCCTCCTTTCATGGACTTTTGACGCCTAACGTCGGAGAAGCGTCTTTGCCACAGAGAGCCACTGTTTAAACTCCCAACTGTTTCATATTGAGCTCTTTTTTGTTTTGTGTTTGTTCCTCTTTTAGTGGATTTAGTGCTCGTGCAAAGTACCAGATTGAAGGCGTGGAGACTGAAGTCCTCTCTCTGTCCGCAGAACAGGTGTGGCACAGGCCGCGGCAGTGCAGCTTTTCCACTGTCCCACCACTGTGCCTCAGTCCTGGCCGAGAGGGACCGTGTTGAGGGTAAGAGGGCTGTCAGTCTCCATGCCCTTCAATCTTTGGCTACTGTGCGAATAAGATAACCCACGTTAGTTATCTCCCACCTTCAAATTGAACCAAATTAAGACACTTCCATTTCATACATATCCAAAGATAGCTTTTAGATAATAATCCTAAGCTTATTGTTAAATTAGTTGGTTTGTGATTCAGTGGCCAAAAATACCAGCAGGAACTTTTGTGGCTACTCCCTACTGAAAATCAAAATCCTGACAGTTTACTAGAAAACATATAGACCATTAAAACCCCAAATTTAGCTGTATTATTTTGTGTTAATTGTGGGGCTTGGGGTTTCTGCTCAAGCATTGTTTTATCTTTTTATCATTTTCTTTTGAGTTTTATTTTTATTTTATTTTTTTAAAATATATTTTATTTTACTTATTTGGGTGTGTCAGGTCTTAATTGTGACAAGCGGCATCTAAGATGCAGCATGCAAGATATTTATTTGCAGCATGTGGGATCTAGTTCCCTGACCAGGGATTGAACTTGGGCCCCCTGCATTGGGAGCATGGAATTTTAGCCACTGGACCACCAGGAAAGTCCCTTCTTTTGAGTTTTATTTTTAATATAGCTTTTCCCCAGCTAGTCATCTTTATAAATAGTTCTTTTCTGAAAGTGAAAGTCACTCAGTCGCGTCCAACTCTTTGCGACCCCATGGACTATAGAGTCCATGGAATTTTCCAGGCCAGAATACTGGAGTGGGTAGCTGTTCCCTTCTCCAGGGGATCTTCCCAATCCAGGGATCAAACACAGGTCTCCCACATTGCAGGCTGATTCTCTACTCCAGCCTGAGACATCAAGGAAACCCAAGCCACTTGGAGTGTGTAGCCTATCCCTTCTCCAGCAGATCTTCCCAACCCAGGAATTGAACTGGGTTCTCCTGCATTGCAGGCAGATTTCTTTACCAGTTGAGCTACGAGGGAAGCCCCATTCTTTGCTACGTAATTTTATTTTACAAGTGGAAGAGCTCAGATCTAGGAAATAGCATTATATAACACACTACAAAACATTATAGAACACTATACAACTAAACCTGTTCTTATTCTGTTCTAACCTTTAGCTCTTCCCTTTCCTTCACAGTTCTGGTTCTGACCATTTTTATGGTTCAGCATATTGATAGTACCATTAATGAAAGGCTATCACTATGGTGGGCTCTTAGCTCAGGAAGCAGGCCTGCACTCCCGCAGTCAATCCTTTCCCATGTACCTAGCATCTCAGTGACATACTCTGCCATTCCCTTTATTGCCGGTGCCATCACCTGTAGTTAGAGGACGATTCTTGCGGAGAAACAAACATCTCACAGATGCTTATTTTGTAACCTATAGGATAGCAGAACTTGATGTAGCTGATGAAAATGATATAAACTGGGATCTGTTAGCGGAGGGATGGAGCAGTGTCCGTTCACCACAGTGGCTTCGAAGTAAATGGTGGACCATCAAAAGGCAAATCGCAAACCATAAGGATGTTTCGTTCCCTGGTAATGTATTATTTGCTCCTGAAGTCCTTACCTTATCTTACCATATTTAGTACTCAAGGAATTAGCTATTGTTCTTTGCCTCAGCTGGAGAGAGATGAATCATGGTAGATTTTTACTTCAACCTCTGTCCTGTTTCTTTGGGTAACGAACTTTCCTTGAGCAGAGTTAATATGATTTGTAATTCTCAAACCACCAAGGATGGAATTACACATATTTACACATTCTTCTCACATAAACTGTGAAGAGGAAATAAATTTCACATGTGTTTTCATTGCATACAAAGATGTAAGAAATTACATTTAAATCAACTTTTATGAATTGAGTAATTTCAAATTACTTAACTGCATTATTTAGAGACATTCTGTGGAGATTTATTTTGTAGAACAAAGGCTGGGAAGTTTCTAATTTCATTTATTGTGTAAATCTAAAGATCTTAGGTTTGCTTAAAAGTGAAGTATAGCTTACTTTCCACTTCACTGTCTGCTCTGTACTTAGGCACTGAACCAGGAAGTACAGTCTTTGATTTAGGAAATCAGATTCACTCACTGATATAATGCTCCAGCTTCATTTTTGCAAAGGAAAATTAAATGCTGAGGAATTTGGCTTGATAAAAATGTGATTTCTTTTCCCCTAAATACCCAGTTGCAAATTTATTTTGCATTGTAAAAATTGTAGTATAACCAGGAGAATGAAGGAATACTAAATGTAACAGGAACCCAGCCAGGTGCAGCATCACCTGGGATGACTGATGTAATCTATCACGGTTAGTAGAGGAGCTGGCTCAAGTCGTTTGCATACTGCTGTTGGGAAAAGCTCAGCTGCCACTCTGAGGTTGTAAGTTAGATGACAGCCAACTGACTGTTCCTGCAGTGGCTAAAACAGTCAAGTGCCATTTGAGTCAGGGCAGGGGCTGGGTACACAATTCATTACTGAATAAAAATGTTGGTTAGTTTTCTTCCTAAATAAGAATTTTATCAAGAAGCCCTAAGACATAGAAAATGTTGTGTTCCTTAAAATAGCTATTAATGTAGCTTTGATGGCAAGAACAAAGTTGTGAATTTTGTAAAAAAATTTTTGATATAGATAAAGTTTCCAAAAATTTCCAGACAGGTTATGGCTTTTAAATATTTTTATTATTATTTTGGTAAGATGTCATATCCTGTATACAACTATTTATTCCAAATACTTTCCCTCCTTACCCCCACCTCCCTTGCTGCTTAGATGGTGGTCTGTCGGAGAATCAATGTTCTTTTTGTCTACCCATCTCCCTTCAGTCTTGATAAAAGGTCTTAAACAGTTACATGAAAATCAAAAAAACAACCCAACGCTTTTGGAGAATAAATCAGGACCTGGAGTTCCAAACAGTAATTCCAATTCCAGTGTACAGCATGTTCAGATCAGAGTTGCCCGCTTGGAAGACAATGCTGCCATCTCTCCAAGCCCCATGACAGCCCTGCAGATTCCTGTCCAGATCACCCACGTCTGTAAGTAACCTCAGAACTCCTTGCTATTTGACCTGTGTGATTTAGTGAATGCGCCTGACACCTTTCAGTCTTGTAGATTTTTGACAGAAGTTTATCCAACTTGACAAATTAAAGGAGATCTAAGGCATTTTATGTTTATTAGCTTGATAAATATTTGCAAAGGATGAATGTGTGACGGGAAAGACTGACAACCTACTACCCAGCCATTATAAACCATTTTAAATCATCTTACTTTCTAGATGTTATAAAGAATAAATGGTTAATAGCAAACTACTTAAAATAATAGCTTACTTGTCAGCTAAGCAAGGACATAGAGTCTCTAGGATGGCACATCATTTGTAGTAATTCACCAGAAGACATACAAATGAGGAATGGATTTGAGGTGAAATGTAGAAGAAATGGATTTTGGTGAGGTTGAAAAAGATTTTCTTTAGGGAGTAAAGACCTAGTTTCCTGCAGGGATTGTTTTGTTTACCTCTCTGGTATAAACAGAGGCGCTTCCCTGGTGGCTCAGTTGGTAAACAATCTGCCTGCGATTTGGGAGACCTGGGTTTGATTCCTGGGTTACGAAGATCTCCTGGAAAAGGGAACAGCTACCCACTCCAGTACTCTGGCCTGGAGAATTCCATGGACCGAGGAGCCTGGCGGACCACAGTCCATGGGGTCACAAAGAGTCAGATACAACTGAGTGACTTTCAACTTTCTCTTCTCCTTAGCCTCTGACTAACATCTTCTTGTGCTTAATGAGGTGAGAACCCAGTGAGTCATAGGGAGAGAAATTCATTTTCTAAGATCTAAGCCAAGTTGATCTAGCTTTCTTTCTATTATAGAGGGACAGAAAAGGAAAGAATTAGGATAAAAATCTCAGAACCATATTATTTTTTCATTTTTATCTCACTTTTTCCCCCTACACAATGTTATTTGCCTATAGAAAGGCCATTGCTAAGAGTTTTTCAATCACTGGGTGTTATTCTCAATCCAGGGATTATTGGCATTTTGAGTGGGACAGTTCTCTGTTGGCAGGATGTCCTCCTACACACTGCAGGATGTGTAGGGTCCCCTGACATCAGCCATAAAATGCCAAACAATGCTTTCCAGTCAGTATGACAGATACAGGCAATTTACAGGTTTTCATATGTACTCTATGATTGCATTTGAGAATCTCTGGACCACTTAATTGGCATTATTAACACTGTATTTCTGGGAATTCCATGGCAGATGTTTAAATTAATTATGCTTGCCTTATTCTTAAAGTTCTAATTCAAATGTGCTTATTATTAATAATATTAAATGTGCTTTAGCTTTCTATCAGTATAGTAAAACATGAAGAATTTATTTTCTTTAACCCTGCTTGTTTTGTTTTATAGTCTTGAGAATTGCAAAGCAACTTAAATTACTAATCCATCATAAATATGAGAGATTCTGTTGACTAAAAATTATTTATGCATGGAGAAAGTTATAATTTTCCTTGGCCACTGGGTTGGTAATACTTACTGAGAAAATAGCAAACATTTTATAGATGGTGCCTTAATATTCATTCACAGCATGCTTTTTTAAGTATTAGAATAATTTTATTTCACCCAGTAAGAAATAACGGGTACAGTAAGTTTTACAAGACACCCATTATTCTTGGCATTTGAGCTAAAATCTCATGGTTGTTTCTTTCTTTATTAGAGGTCAGGGATGCAGACTATTTAGGGCCAGAACAGTAAATATATGTTAGGCTTTGCAGACCAAGGCCAGATAGATCTCTGTGGAATTTTCTGTTTTTGTTTTTACACAATCCTCTAAAAATGTAAAAACCATTCTTAGCCTTGAGCCACATTTGTCCCCAGCCATAATTTGCTTACCTTTGATTTAGGTTATTTATCTGAAATCAAATTTTTCTATGTATGATCTTAAGAATCCATGAACTAGTAAGAGAAATAACAGGAATTAAGTGCATTTCTCTGAAACTGAGAAGTATTATAGTCAGAATATAATAAACAATAAACATCATACATTAGAAGTCAATTTCAAATCATCTTCCACATGGATGTACCTACAAGTGGGACTGAAAGCATCAGAAGAGCTCACATTTCTTCTAGTTTGCTGTAGTTGTGTATAACCTTGTGCAGACACAATGAAGCTTGAGCTTCAGTTGACATACCTGTCTGATCTCTAAAGTGCTATTTATTCACCCAGTACAGTCATTTGAAACAATACTGTATGTATTTCATGTTTTTGATCCTCACAACTACTGTATGTGATAGACAGGGCAAGTAAAGTCTCTGAACATTAGTTTGGATTGAAGTAAGTTATTTGCCTGGATTTACATTGCCAGAAGTGATGTCACTAGAACTAAAGCCTAGGGTTCTCGGACATCTCTATATTCCAAACATCTGTACCTTCTTACCAAAAGGTACAGGAAAACTTAGCATTTTATCAAGTTCCTGTATCTTTGCAGGTTAACCTTAGTGTATTCCTCTTTCTTATTAACATTAGAAATATTTTATGATCTATGCCAGGGTTAGCAAATTTTGTCTCTGTCATAGCTACTCAACTGCCCTTGTAGTGCAAAAGCAACTACAGAAAATACATAACCAAGCAGGCTTGACTGTGTTCCTATTAATAACTTCCATTTATAAAAACTGGTAGTGAGCTGGATCTGGCCGTGGGTCATGGTTTGCTGACCCTTATCTGTGCCATCCCAGACAGATCCATTATGTTAAACTTAAATGATTGTGGGTTTCCAGGCCAGTTATTCAGTATGAGATGGCCCTCCTAGTTAACTGAGTACACTAAGGAAATTGAAATTTAGAAAGTGTTTTGTTTATTGTCCTTGTTCTTGCCACAGCTTCAGCAGACTCCGCCGCTGCTGCTGTTGATTCGGAAACAATAACACTAAACAGCGGAGCACTGCAGACGTTTGAGATCCTCCCAGTGAGTAGCCGCCTTACAGAGCCTAGTGCGCAAGAGCAGCTGGCGTCACTGTTAGAGATGCTGCATGAGCAAGTGAGATAGAAAAATTAACCTGTCATTACGTGTAACTCTATCCATGAGTTTGGAAGCCAGATGGCTGGAAGACAACATAAATCAGACTTCTACTTTTTATAATTAATTTTTCAGTCTGATATAAACCAGTAACGTGTTTTTCGTATATAGATGAAAATGGCAATGCTAACATGTAGGGTACATGCTACATATTTCTATCGAATTATAAATATATACTTAAAAAATTCATATTGGTTGAGGAAAAGTTTCTGGAATGAATTATTTAACAGAGTAACACTGCACTAGCCATTGAGGATACAGGGTTTAAAAGTCCTAGTCATAAGTGATGTAGCCACTTAGGCAAAGAATCTTGCAGTCCCTTAAAAGGTTAAATATTGTTACCAGATGACCCACCAATTCTAATCCCAGGAATACCTAAGAGAAATGAAAACATTATATCCATGTAAAAACTTGTACATGAATGTTCATAATAACTAAAAAGTAGAAATAATCCAAATGTCCATCCACTGGTAAATGGGTAAATAAAATGTGCTATAGACATACAAATGATTATTTAGCAGTAAAAAATATGCTACCACAAGGATGAACCTTGAAAACATTATGCAAAGTGAGAGAAATGGGACACAAAATATATAGTGCAGGACTCACATTTGATACGTCAAAACTAGGCAAACCTAGAGAGACAGAACATAGATTAGAGGTTAACTATGCTAAGAATTTTTGGGGGAGAGATGGGATATGTCTGCTAATTTAAATGTAATTTCTTTGGGGGGGTTATGAAAATTGAAAAACAGCCCCAGTTCTTTGCCTGATTTCTAAAATAGGCAAACCCAAAATTATTGGCTCAGTTTTCATGAAGAAAAAATGTATTTTATTTAAATTATGTCAAGATTTATTTGCTCTGAAAAATATAAGGAGTACTAGTGCATGAGTTTTATTTATATCCTATACACAGCCAAATCTCATAATGGCCCACAGAGCAAAAGATTCTCTTTTGGAGCTTCTACTAGTCTGCTTACTTAACCTAAGCCTCAGTTTCCTAATTCAGTGGTTTTCAAAGTAGGGTTGTAAAAGAAAGTCATTTGTCACAGGTACAAAACAGAAATTTGTTTTACCTTTTTTTGCCACTTTCCCCCTGGCCAAATAAATAATGTACACACATATATTTGAGGTATGTGTTCAGGTTTTAACTTATGAGGTCACAATCAAAGATTTAGAGACTTCTGTCCTAATTAGTAAATAAAGCATAATAGTGCCTCAGCTCCAAAAATGTATAAGCATTAAATGTATTAAGTATATTAAAATATGCATATAATATACATGTGCATACAAAGTATTTACTATATCACCTGATGATATGTGATGAATAAATACAACCTTTAGAAAAAACAGTCAGCTTACACTTTTATGAAGAGGGAGAGGGAAAAGTGAGTTGAATCCCAAGTGTGTGCCAAGCACCATCACAATCATTTCTAATCCTCAACAAACCTTTCTGTGAGAAGTAGTTATTATCCCTGCTTTCATGTTTAAGAAACCTAGATTCAGTGAGTCAGGAGCCAGCAGAGCTGCCGTGGAGGAAGTCCACAAGACCGTGTCGGACTAGAGACCAGGATACATGACCTTCACCTTCAGCTCTACATGCACATGCTCTTCCTTCAGAGTTTTAGGGTAAACCAAACTCGCATTACCATGGAGAAGCTCATGGTTGTGAAACGTGTGTTGCTGTTCCAGTAGTTTTGTTACACTTCCATAAAACATCTAAACATACTATCAGTTAAACAGTTTTCAATTAGGAATTTTTTCTTTCAGCAGAAGACTAATTGCTATTTCTGTACCTCTTCTCCTAACATAAAAATTTTCTAAAATTATTCTATGAAAAAAAATCTATTCAAGTAAACACTGCCATAGTGCCTTTTCAAAGATGTGAAGCTTTTTAACTGGGAGACTGCTAGGTTTTATGTGCTACAGAGAAAGGATAAAGAGGGTGTGCTGGGTTACTGCACTGGAAACAGTGGTTTATGAGGCTGTGTCTTGGACTGAGATTGAGCTGAAACCAGACCATAGACACACAGGGCGTGAAGAGTAGGATCAAGGCCTTGCCTCTTTGTTAAACCTGCAGGCTGTGAAATGACTTACAACACATAAATAGTCCAGAATATTGTGCTTTTTATTTTATTATTTGCACCTTCATGATTGGTATCAAGTACATTTGTACTTTACTAGCAGTAAAGTCCCCATTTGGGATGTAAAGCTAGACATAGTGAGCACTAAGTCTGCTTACTCAGTGGTATGATGCACCTGTGTTGACCAGATTTTTCTTCTTCCTTTAGTCTTTCCATTTACAGCCCACTGGCACTCCAGGCACCTACCTGCTTCAGACAAGCTCAAGCCAAGGCCTTCCCCTCACGCTGACTGCGAGTCCCACAGTCACCCTGGCAGCTGCGGCTCCTGCTTCTCCTGAGCAGATCATTGTTCATGCTTTATCTGTATGTCATCTTACATAAATTCCTTGATTTTTCTAGTTTCTGTAGAAAAGACTGGTTAAACTGATAAGTGTCACCAGAGATAGAACTCATACCTTGGGGGAGGGGGGAGATAAATTTTGAGCTCCAAGACTTCAGGACCTGTTAGGGACCAGAATTAGTTGATCCATAATATTAAGAGCCAATACTACTGTAATCCATGGATTTAAACTATTCTTCTACCACTGTTGTCCCAGGAGCATGTTTTACACCTTCACTGGGGTACCTCCCTCATTCCTGTACAGGAGATGGACATACATTAGGGGAAAGGGGCTCTTAGGAGCGCAGAGGCCGCAGTAGGTCAAGAAACAGGAATTGTAGAGGAACTTGGTAAGAACACTGCAGATCCAGAGGTGAGAGGCATGGAGGGGACACCAGGGTACCACGTGTAAATGTCATTTGTTGTCTGTAACTTTAGGCTAGTATGTACTTTTTCATCTTGCCACTGATTGTTTTTGTTAACATTCTGTAGCCAGAACATTTGTTGAACACAAGTGATGTCACAGTGCAGTGTCACGCACCAAGAGTCATCATTCAGACCGTTGCCACAGAGGACATCGCCTCTTCCATATCCCAAGCAGAACTGACAGTGGATAGTGATATTCACTCATCTGATTTTCCTGAGCCTCCAGATGCCCTAGAAGCAGACACTTTCCCAGATGAAATTCATCAGCCTAAGATTACAGTAGAGCCGTCATTTAATGATGCTCATATATCCAAATTCAGTGACCAAAATAGCACAGAACTGATGAATAGTATTATGGTCAGAACAGAAGAAGAAATCTCTGACACCCACCTTAAACAAGAGGACGAACCCTCCCCATTAGCCCGGGCTTATGTTACTGAGGTAAGTTGCACTCACACAGCCTTAAGCCTCAAACCTGCAGTTTGGAAAAGCCTAGAAATTGTTCATGGAAAGATGTCCTCAGAACATTCCTACTTTCTTTTGTTTATTTATTTATTTTCCTATTTTCTTTTAGACACACACTCAATGTGCAGACCTCTCCCTGAGAAGTGTCATTAATCCAGCAGGGCTGTGCTCTTCCCACAGTTCCTCACTGAAGCCTTTCCCTCACCAACCCCCAGTAGATTGAGAAATGTTTGTGGAAACCATCTTCCTGTGGGTGGTTTGTAACAAATCTTTGTGGTTCAGCTTAGGAACCTCATCCCACAGTGAAACAGCAGAACCTGTCACTGTACTGGCTCTTTTAAATTATTTTTTTTGCTAGTATGTAAAACATCAGAGTGTGAGGTTATTATTATTTTTGTCTGTTTTAAGACCTTAACTTTGGTTTCTTTATATTCTAACTTAAGGATAATATTTCAAAGTCCTTTCAAGCCTAAATGTGTTTGGGGACTTAAGGGAAACCAGGAATATGAGACAGAATCTTTTTTTTTTTAATTGTTATTACTTAGGATTTAGGGTCTCCTACCATAGAAGAGCAAGTTCATCAAACAACAATTGATGATGAAACGATACTTATTGTTCCTTCACCACATGGCTTTATCCAGACATCTGATGTTATAGATACTGAATCCGTCTTGCCTTTGACAACACTAACAGGTACTGTAACTCCATCGTGTGCCTGATAAATCTTAAGGGGGAAATCAAGCATTGAGTCCTGTTAAATTTTCACTTTGGTAGAAGAACACTTATTCTAAATTCTTTGATGTGGATTAGAAGATATATACACATTTAGGATCAACTTGAAACTTATCTCATTACAGATCCCATACTCCAGCATCATCGAGAAGAATCAAACATCATTGGATCATCTCTGGGCAGTCCTGTCTCAGAAGACTCAAAAGATGTTGAGGATTTGGTACACTGTCATTAGGTGGTAATTAGAAACAAGCCATTCAGGCAAAGTCACACTGTTCATTATATCTCCAAAGAAATAGAAGCAACCCCCAAGAGGCTTAAATTTACCATTCCTCTGGCTTTTGAATAGCTGCAGTGCTCAAGCCACATACAGTGTTGCTGCTATGACTTTTTACCTCTTTAAATATATCATCTGAGGTCTAGTCTTACAACAGTGTGTAGTTGAGTGGAGCACTACTAGGGTCTTAACTGCAGAGATCCCAGTGATTAGTGTTTCTTGTCAGCAGGGAATTTGATTCACTTTAGCTGAGAGAATTTTAAAATCGCCAAAGCTTAACTACTGTTTAAAAAGCAGTAATATTCATCTCTACAGTTCAGACATGGCACTCTGTCCGGCCTCAAGTAGGCCTGTTTATATTTCAGAGAAGTCACATTAACATGCTCTAGAGCTTCCCAGTGACGACCTGCACAGAGATATCTTCTAAGTAGTTTGAGACTTGAGGTGATTGTGTGGGGGTTATTTGGGTTTACCCATTGCTGGCAGTGGGAGCTGATTTGGGCTGGGTAATGAGAAGAGTATTAAGAGGGTTTAGAAAATTCACTACAGGTTTGTTTTTTTTTTAATTATTTTTTAAAGGGAATATGGATGAGAGTGGTAAAACAAAATTCACCAGAAGCTAAGCATTTTCATCCCTCAGAACCCACTGTCACCAGTTTACAAAGTTAGCACTTTGAAGTAAAACTAAATGGGAAAGGAAGTACTAAGTTGCCTATCCTGTACCATGACCTTTTATTACATGTTTTGCTATGTAAATTACCCAGGAAGTCGCAGAGTATCAGTTTGCCGTTCACTTAGTGCATTAACTTGGTGGGGGTTTGATATAACTTCTCCCTCTCAGGCAATTTAAAAACACAAAATTTGCTTCTTTAATGAAAGGAAACAAACCAAGAGTCATTCCTATACTAGAGAAGGTTAAGCCAAAATTAGCCTCTAGGGCTTTAATGAATATGACCCCTATAGAAAAAGTTTAAAAAAAAAAAGAAAAAAAAACTTGTATAAATTATTTTATTTATTATTGTAATTAGATCTACACAATCAAAGTTGTCTTTTCACCGTCTGTGTTTTGTTAACGTGAAATTGTAGTTATAAGCAAAAGTTGGTTGCCTAGGGAACAATAATTGTATATTCAGTTTAACAGAAATAAAAGAATATTTGTCTTAAAATGCAAGATTGTTTGTTACATAGCCTTGCGCCATGCAATTACTTTATATAAAAAATTTCAAAAGTGAAAATGACTTGTGCTTTAAGGGGTAATGTTTAAGTACAACATCGGCTCCTTAAAGAAAAAGCAAAGTGATATAGGATATATCTCCCCTGCAAGAGGGAATTTAGATTTACAATTAACATGAAAATCATGTATCACAGTTGTGCAGGAGACTCTTCAGCATACCTTATCCAGCTCTTATTCGAGTCCAAATGTATTGCTTTGAAGAGACAGACATGGTGAGTGTATCTCTTGGCAGCCTCACTTTCCCACATCATGGAAGTACAGATTCGCACATATACATAACATGATGATAGAAAATAAGATATAGTAAATAAGGTTTCTAAATTTCGGTTCTAAATCTCCTTGTCGATACCAGTAGATCTAAAAGAAGAAGAATTAAATAGAAGTTTAAGTAATAGCACTGGACTGAATATTAAAAATTTAAAATACAACTAATTCTTTTCCACTGTGACCAAGTCCATCCATATATACTTTTCCCCCTAAATAAGGCTAAGGCAGCCAGAATTTTATTCTTTGTAATTCAAGTAGTACCAGCTGAGTTTATATCCAAAATCATACTTTATTCCTGCTTTCTCAGTTAACTTTGTTCAATGTTGAAACCAAGAGTCCACCAATCATTTGGCAAGTCATCCAAGAATATATATCTATCTTCTACAGATATTTTAATTATATATGAGTAAAAGTTACCAACTTTTTAAAGTACTGAAAGGGAGGACAACTTTTAAATTCCTTTAACTGATTCAAATCGCCAACAAAACCGGAGCTTTACACATGCATACCTCTAGTTTAAATTATTACAGATCACTGTCAGCCACTCTGGCTCTAGGCTGGGAGTGGGAGAGGAGCTTTGTTCCCCCAAGCTCTCAAAGTCCGAGGGGCCACTCCTTCCCTCAGGTCAAAGGAATATAACAGTCACTGAATTTGAAACTGGGAAATGTCCCCTTTAACTCAGAGAGGCACATCATTATTTATGATTTAAGCTCTATAGTGAGTCAAAACAATTATGTTTAAGGGTTTTGATTCTGCCTTTCCTCAAGGGAAATGAAACAGCCGCCAACTAATGATGACTTGGCAAATACCCAACTGAGGACTGGCTACTGTCTTTGTTTCTTTACCTAACAGAAAGGCTTCTTAGTAGTAGTATAAAAACTGAACATTCTTGTGAAAAAGATACAACTGTAGCTTTAGTTTTCTCAAGAGTTTTTGGTGTTAATTACTTTCATTTGGGGAGCTAATACTCAAAGATTAAAATAGACTAGTTTTGTAATTATTAGGAGTAATAACATTTCCCAAAGACTGTTGGGCTCTGTATGTAGTCTTTGAAGGAAGATGAATAAAATTACATCATATCTTTGGTGACCTAAGTCGTTGGTTTTTTTTTTTTTTTCTTTTTTTGTCAAGGGAACAGAGTTGCCTTTTAGGGTTACAAGGTTACAACTTTGGGATTTAAGAGAAAAGGAGACAAATTAAAAGAAAAAAAATACCCTGGGATTTTAACAATGAGAATTGTGACGTCCTCTGGGGGAGAGGAGTGGTGTATTAGAGACACCTTTTCATACAGATTTCTACCAGGGCTGGGAATTCTGTCCCAGGCACTGCAACCATCAGCCCTCAAGGATACTGAATTTAAATTCTCAGTAGTACTCACAAGTATGCAGGCAGTGATACTGCTCAAAGAGATGCAGACAGCAAAAAATATATTCAACGGTTTTGGAGGTAGTTGAGGGAAAACAAAAGCACTAATCAGCGTTACCTGTATGAAAAGAAAGTGTGTCAGGCCTCAGGAGTAATTCCAAGACTTGGTTAGACTGGCATCTAGGCAAAGTAACATTATAAAATGCTCCAAATGGTGAAATGGCATCTTATCTACCATCAGGTTTGTCTTCTGGAATGTTAATGTTTAATAAAATACTTAAATCTTTTCAATTGTGTTATTCCTTTTAGTACTTCCACTTAATCTTCCCGACCTCCTCTTTTATGAAAGGAGACAAACCACCATGAAGCAATCAAACTAGCTAACCTCAAAATAAACCTCTTCATCAACAAAGATTAGAAAGCAGTTAAACAACATTCCCCAGGATCAATGACTATACTGGGGAAAGTTCTAACCTTTTTGTCATTTTGAGTATACCAGCAAAAAAAATATATATCCAAAACTGTTTTTGCTTAACATGAAAAATACTAAAAAATAGATTTCTAATACCCTATAAGTTCTCTTTCTACATTTAACGTTACCCATTCTTTTTATGAAGAATTCATAGAAAGAGACTTCACCAAAATTCTCTTAGATTTACTAAAAATGTGCCAAAGAAAGGCCATTCTCAGACTGGGAAATGTAGCTTTGTTTTATTTTGATAGCACCAAGCTCTAGTATACAGAACGAGAAATTAAAATAATCTTTTAAAACCAAAGGATAATGAATGTACTTTAGGAACAAAATAAATGTAAAGATAGCAGCAGAGCTGCGGGTTACATACAGCAGGGAGTTGCTAGTAGCCGCTCACATACTACAAATCTCACCCAGGGGGGGAGAGTGGAAATCAACTAGCTATTCCACTTACACCAGAGGCAGTTTTATTTAGGTGTTAGTAAGATTGAGAGCATTGCTTTACTGCAGGTGGAACATTCCATGCTCGTGTACGCCCCTTAAGGTTTTGGGGAGCTGACTGAACTGCAGTATTAAGGTTTTCAAACTTTGGCTAAGACCCTGGCTGCCACACAAAGATACTTACTAGGATCAATAAAGATGTTAAGCTGCCAACAACTAAATTGATGATTCGATCCTGAAAAAGAGAGAGGTTTTTTTAGCCATATGATAAACTCATGGCATTTTAGAAAGACACAAGGCAAGACAGAATGGAGAAAGCACTACCCTGCCCCTCTGAGCTTCACACAAACAACTGCCAGAAAGGCAGAGTACTGAGCCACCAGGTAATGACGGGGGTTTGGGGAAGCTGGACAGCTGCTTAGAGAAAGTTTCTTAAAGGGACATGGCATTTTTACATGAGGGCCTTTTGAAGATGGGAAAGGGAGGCTTACAAATAATCTACTTTTGCTGCTGAGAACAGTATGAGCAGAAGCAAAAGGGACAAGAGCGTGGGGGTGGCCAGCCCAGATCCTTGGTGAAAACAGTCAGGAACCAGACTTGTGATGTCTCTTCCCATCATGAGTTTCAACCTGTTTGTGATACAGATGGTATCCTTGTTCATTAATCTTAAGAATTACCTGAATGAGCTCGGGCCTGGTGCACTGGGAAGACCCAGAGGGATTGGGTGGAGAGGGAGGTGGGAGGGGGGACCGGGATGGGGAATACATGTAAAAAAAAAAAAAAAAGATACACTATGGTTGTGAAAAAATAAATAAATAAAATGTATGATTTACTATTAAAAAAAAAAAAAAGAATTACCTGAATGAGAAGCCTGGTGTTTCTACCTATCGAGATCTCTTCTACCCATCCCTGCCCCAACCAACTCCAAAGAATGCTTTGAAAAACTGATCTAATCCAATCCCCATTTTACTGGTTAAGGTAAATTTTGGTTCAGTGCGTGCAGTTAAACTATTTGCGTAAAGTCAGACAGCAAGTTAGAATCAACTTGAAACAGGATATCTAAATCAGGGTCACTGGTTAGATGGTTTCAGTTAAAGGAACTGAAAAGTAAAGTAATATATAAAAATAGTATGCACTGGGAAGACCCAGAGGAATCGGGTGGGGAGGGAGGCGGGAGGGGGGATCAGGATGGGGAATACATGTAAATCCATGGCTGATTCATGTCAATGTATGACAAAAACCACTACACTACTGTAAAGTAATTAGCCTCCAACTAATAAATGGAAAAAAAATGAGAAGGAAAAAAATCAATTAAAAAAATAGTATGTACTAACATGTATATTAGGTTGATAGCACTTAAAGACCTTACAGAATGAAGTGACAAGGGTTAAAGACCTGATTAAGAAATACTACCTTATGGCCAATGAGAATATCAAGTAATCTTAGTTTGGAAAAGTCAAAGCTGAAGTCTTGAATGAATGAGTTTTAAAGACTGTTGGTAACGTCTGAGCACTTTAAGATCAGCAGGATATGGAATACAAGCAGCCAATAAACCAAAGCTCAGCGATAGGAAGGGCACAGGATCTTGCACAGAGTTGTCTGCTTCTAAAGATAAGAAGCCAAAGAAGAGTAGGGCAGGCAAAGCCGGGAGGCCGAGTGGAGCGAAGCCAAGCGTTCTCTCCAGGGTGTCCGACCTCACACTCCACACCACGGCCACTGCAATTTAAATGTCACACAGAACAAAGGAAACTGAACTGAATACCAAATCTGAGGACAGATCTTACCAGCTAGAGAAGACCACACGGGACACGCAAGAGTGAAACTAGAACCTCTCCTTAAGAAAGTGACCCAGGGATAAAGCGCTGATCACTATTAGTCCTGCACAAGACACATGTGCAGTTAACATAAAATGTGTTTACAGACAACCCATTTAAGAGAACCCCACTGTTTCTGCCTTGTGAAGAAGTTTCAACTAAACTCTGGTCTATTCTAAGAAGTAAAGAATATTTGCTCCCATCTCCTTATAAACTCCAGGGATTCTTAAAGGTCTGCATATGTCACAAGAGCTTTTACCAACAGAAAGAAGCCACTGAAGATTCAGGTGAGAGGCAGCCAACAAGAATCCCTGTTCTCCAAACAGTACAGCAGGTTTGCCAACCAGGATCAAAACAGGGAGAAGAGGGGGTCTAATGGTGAACAGATGGCAACTATGCCAGAAGCTTTTGTGTATCTTCTAAAAAATTCCAGGATGAAAGGCTAGCATGACTATTTTACAAGTGGAAACGCAAGCTCAGGGAAATTGAGAGCAAGTAATGGAAACAGGATTCAACGCAACAGAGTAGATTCCATTTCTACTTTTCACAGAAACAGCAGTGTAGCATGTAACTGCTGGTCTAGACAAAGATTGTTGGTTAGTCACTCAGCTATGTCCAACTCTTTGTGACCTCATGGACTATAGCCTGCCAGTTTCCTCTATCCATGGGATTCTCCAGGCAAGAATACTGGAGTGGGTTGCCATTCCCTTCTCCAGGGGACCTTCCCGACCCAGGGATCCAACCCACATCTGCTGCACTGGCAGACAGATTCTTTACATCTGAGCCACCAGGGAATTTCTAGACAAAGATAGCAAGTTGCAAAGAACAAGCCTATTAGCAAAGTTCAACAGTACTACAGTAAAGTGTTAATCTTTCAGGAATGAAGATTTCCTCATAAGTGATTGTTTTAGATTGGTGAACTTAACCATAGAAGCCTAACCGGTTTCAGTCATTCATGAAAATATATCTAAACTTTAATGACTTCCCTATTTGCCTTCTAGACAATCTATTGTCTAGAATCCCAACTCATCTTCATGAATATCAGGTATTCAATCATTAAAATGCAGTCTCTCTGGGGCATCTCACCAACTTAGGAGATGGTGAAGGACAGGGAAACCTGCTGTGCTGCAGTCGGACACAACCGACTGACTGAACTAGGACTCCCAAGATGGGACAAAGTATTTAAAATATAGCACTATTTCTCACAGTCTCCTTCCTCCAAGCCAAGGTCTTGGCTTCAGGCCTTCGGCTATTGAAGTAACCTTGAATGCAGGCCAAAGAAACAGCAGAGTTAACTGGAAGACCTCCCACTTCAGTCTAAACTCTTGCTATGCAGAGTGCTCTGGCCCTGCAGCACTGGTCTCACATGAGAGCCTGTAAGAAATGTGGAATCTCAGGCCTTGCCCCAGACCAACTGAATCAGAATCTACATTTTAACAAGAGCCTCACATGATCTGTGTGCACAGCTGTAAAGTTTAGAATCTAAACCATTTAGAACATTGCTAAGTTCAAATCTTAGGGTAGAGACCCTCCCTAGGCCCAGAGATGATTTTTCAGGACTTTAGCAGCTCCCCCCACCCTCCCAGTCTCCAAAGATAGAACAATAGAGAATAATTAAATTGCCCTTAATTCCATTTCAAAGGGCAGTGTTAGGGCTAATATGTTCCAAGTCAGAACAGAGTGCATGTAGAAAAGGGAATATTGCATTTAAATTTGCTGTTTATGGAATGACTTGAAATTCACATTGTCTCCATATCAAAAGCTAGCTTCTATTAACTCAGCTACTCTGTTCCTCACAAAAACTAGCTCTGTTTCTTCCTCAGTTTTATTACTGCTGTATTTCCATCTAACAAAACCATTCTCCCTACCAGATCTTTACACTTTATACTGTTACTTATTTTCACTCCCCAAGAAAGCTCAGCAGGATCAGAATCAGCCCTGACCTTGACCCACGGAGATGACAGGACAGGTGGTCTTCCCTTCCCCTCAGGGCTCCCCTCGTGGAGACCTGGGTTCAATCCGTGGGTAGGGAAGATCCCCTGGAGGAGGGCATGGCAATCTACTGCAGTATTTTGCCTATAGAATCCCCATGGACAGAGGAGTCTGGCGGGCTACAGTCCAAGGGGCAGAGTCGGACAGAACTGAGCGACCAATCACAGCCCTTCCTCAGACATTACTCGGCAATAGGCCAAGAGACTATCTTAACTCATATGTATGAATTTATGAGCACATAAACATAACAATATACAAACATACATAGTATAGTTTTGACTGGGATTCTTCATATTTTGGGTTTCCCTGGTGTCTCAGTGGTAAAGAATCTGCCTGCAATGCAGGAGACAGGTTCGATCCCTGGGTCAGGAAGATCCCTTGGAGAAGGAAGTGGCAACCCACTCCAATATTCTTGCCTGGAGAATTCCATGGACAGAGGAGCCTGGCAGACTTACAGTCTCTGGGGCCGCAACAGAGTTGGATTAAGTTTACTGACTAAACAACAACTGTGTATCTGCATATATTACCTCTCGTGTGCTTAGTCGCTCAGACATGTCAGACTCTTTGCAGACCTAAGGACTGTAGCCCACCAGGCTCCTCTGCCGAAGGAATTCTCCCAACAAAAATACTGCAGTAGGTCAGGGGATCTTCCCAACCCAGGTATTGAACCCACATCTCCTGCATGTCCTGCATTGGCAAGCAGATTCTTTACCACTGAGCCACCAGGGAAACCCATATTCTCTCTTGTCATTTATTTTTTCACTTAAACATTATCTCAGTTATCTCAATAAATGCTGGGAAAAAAGTATCTTCTACATCATAGCTCAGGATGAAGGGACTCCATAGAGACCCGGGGAGAACAAAGGTCATGACAGGGGAGAAGCTGGGCTGCAATGCATAGGTGGAGACGGCAGCCCAAGTCCAAAAGAGGCACATCTTCCTTTGAAATAATGAAGGAGAGAAAGACTGCTGTGGCTACAGTGTCTGTACCTGGGGTGAGACAAGGTAGCTCTGAGCAGCAGTAAGGAATATGCTCTCCATTTACCAGTGGGAACTGGGTTCAATCAAACCTATTTGCCCAAGGTCATACAGCCAGGTAGTGGCAAAAGTCTCCTCCCCAAAGCTCTCTGCAAAATGCAAGGCTAACAAGCAATTCAAAAGGTCTAAGAATCCTTAGACATGTATGTGGTGGCCCTGAAATGAGAGTTGAGACCAACGTTCTCATCTCACTGGCTAGCCAGATGGCTTCAAAAAGACCCCTTAACCCACTTGGGTCTATCAAGTGAGAGGACTGGGCTGATATCTGGTCCTTTCCAGTGTTAACCATTTATGGTTCTGGGTCATCAGCCTTAGACAGCACCTGGGCCAGAGGAGAAGGCCTATCCCTCAGCAATCAAAAGGCACAGGAGCCCCCCAGATTCCTTAGTCA